CAAAAGCAGGTGGAGAAAGCTTGAGTTTATTGACTTTTCAAACGTTCAGGATGTTTGAGCACTCTAAGTTTTCGTCACCGTAGCAAAGGGAACAGTTAACTCCGTGTTTGCGTTGATTATGATAAGATAATCTTCGTTGATCTCAAGTTAAATAATTACTTAGTTGAGGTCCGCCAATGCTGGCCATACCCGCGTGACGATTGTTACTATAATTTGAATTATTTAATTAGTTAGTTTAGTTGTTGACCTTTGTCTTAACCTCAAACATGAATGTTCGGATTCTTCCATTTCACTGTACCAAATTTAATTTGCGCACCAACTGATTAATACGCAAAACAAAAAGTCTGCTCTATTGCTAGACTCGGGTTTTAGCTGGTAAAAGGGCACGATGATTAACCTCCATATGGCAGTGTAGGTCCTGATCTCTTAATCACGCTGCAATGTAATCAAGCAACTCATGACAGGGTAGAAGATGACTTAGGGTTTGTTTGGTAACTATAATATTGTCAAATAGTTGACTAGCCTTGACCTAAAATATGGTAATTTGATAAATCATTTTGAATATGGCTCACATATGAAAAAAAATTAAGTTTGATTTATAATCAACTCGTATGGTAGGATGGGAAAGTAGTTAAACAGTCTCAAAATCAGTAAACAATAACTACTTCATTTCAAAATTCTAAATCGACACGGACAGAGAGACGAAAATATTAGGTAGGCTTAGCTTTCAACACCATTGGTAGGCCGCTGCATTCCCTGGTTGACAAATGGGGCCCATTATTTGTTGGGAGCGCATAGTATAAGTCTGATATCTTCACTTGGGGAGATTGCCAAGAGGGACTTCATTTTTGAATCTGTCAACATATCTAATTGGATAAATATTCACTCAAAAGCTTAAGTCAATGGGTTATGAGTTAACTTGGATATATTAATTGCTCCATACCACATCAATTATCTGATACGAGACTTTTCCTAACACAACTCATATGTGTATCTCAATAATCTTCCCTTCATGTCTGAACTCAGTGTTAGATATGCTCCCTCTTTAATTCAAGTATTCTTCTGCATCAAGATTTTTCGATTTGAATCTTTATCAACGCCTAACTTCATTCCTGGTCTCTTTCTTGAGACTGAACTTTGAAGTTTGCCATCGGTCTTGCATTGTTACGCTAGAAAGCCTAGAAACCGTGTCACTGGATTCCTTTATCGAAATATCCACTAAACACCGAAACAGATTGGGGGCCCACAAATCTACTATTGGCTCTGATACTATTTATTGGAGTGTTGGATATTTCAACAATTTAGAAATAATATTTAAAGTAATGGCTATGACCTCCATGAAAGCCATCATCTTATAATGGCTTTATAACGACTTTGTAATATTTATTTATTTCTTCATAAACCCTCCATTTTATAACAGCTTTATAACGTTTATCATTTTAACAATTACCAATTGTTTTATAACGGTTTCTTAATGGCTCTCTCTTTTGTTTGGACATAAAATAAAAATTCAAACCACAATCCTTCCGGATACATCGAATCAAAAAAGAGAATTTTCCTTTTCTTCTCATGTCTTTCCTTTCTTTGCTAAGTTATATATAAATGTTGTTCCTGTTCCTTCTTTTATTCTGTGTGGAATAAAGAAAAAGGTCCATTGTTTCTTAAGAGGATAGCTGTTAAAGCTTATTGTGCCGAGTTTTGTACTCTGAGGGGCGGAATTATTCTTAAGGACCGTGCTTGCACGCCTAAGATAATTTGATCTTATTTTCTCATCTTTTTCAATAGATTTCCAACAATTCTTAATTTTCATATTATCTAATATTTTTTTAACAATCTTAAGGATAATTGCCTTATGGATTCCCAAATTGGAACTCTGTTGCTACCACTGCTGTTGGAATTGAACAAGGACTTGGAGATGGTGAAGAACAAGTATCACATATTCGTGGGCAGTTTATGGTGGCAATTACGAGATATCTCAAGAAAAGTTGGATCCCTTCGGCTCGACTATGCTTCCTCCTCTGTGGAAATTGGAGACCACTTTGTCTTCTCCGTTGAGGCTTGTCGTCACCTAATTTGCACTATCATTGCGTCACCATATTAGCCGTTGCAACTTCATCACCATTATGGGGTAGCACCGGATCAACTCCTACCGCCACAGAGTGACAAATCTCTGCGGTGGTTCCATCTTTAATGGTTCTTGAACTCATTATATCCGGTTGAAGCTTCTTTAGATCTGTCGTAATCGAAGTTCAATCAAACTACATATCTTCATTCTCTGCTCCTTATCTGATCGTTGCTATAGAATTAGAGCTAAGTCCTTTCTCTTTCTCTCTTCTCTATTTCTGATTTCTGATTTAGTCAATTGCACTCATCTACTCAGTCTTTTCCAGAATTTCCAAAGGCTTCTTCATCGACTTCCATTTTCCATCATCTTTCGGATGCTGTTCGCCTTATTTCACTCTTTTAAAACAAATTTACAAATTTGGCCTTTAATAGATTGAAATTTAATTTAAGAGAAAGAATTAAAGGCCAAAAGTTTGCCGATTATTTTTAATTGGCAACAAGAGTATCAAGGTATGTGCAAATGCTTAAATACATAAATAAATGACCATATGAAGACTTCACACAAAGCGTGACTTCAATGGAAAAAGCTATGAGTTATATGATGAATCTGACCAAAATAAAATAAATTTGTAGACGATAAGGGGGCATATGACAATCCTTGATTATCTAATTTACATTAGTCGACCAAACAACAAATCATTTAATTCTTTTTAAAGGAGCATATGTTGACACGAGAAAATGTCCAAGTATTCGGTTGACAATCTTAGATGCAACCGATAAAGAAGTGGAGGGAACATAAATGACAAATAGTGAAGTCGATAATCTTGGATGCAATCGTCAAAGATGTAATTGTCAAAGTAGTCGAGTTGATATAATCGTCAGTGTAGAGGAGTCGATGTAACATTTAAGTAATCGTCAGTATAGTGGAAAGTAAATTTACTTATTAGTTAGAGGACTAGTATCACAAGCAGAAAAAGAGGTAGCTAGGTAGCTTGGCCGGTCCCAAACGTTTGGGACCTTTAAATTTGTCGATTTACTTATCGATCCATATACTTAGAACGGTTTTTCATCAGTAACTTTTCCGCAAAACAGATAAATCAATACTTAATTTTGAGTTATCATGACAAAAGTCACCAACCATGTGGACAAGCTACTAATTACCGATAGAGTTCAAACTTATCTTCTATTACGATAACTTAGAAATCAAATAACACAATTGCTATTTGCGTTGATGGGCATATCCTTACTTTTGGGAAATTTTCAATTAAGGACCCAAAGTGGGTCTCTTTTTTCAAAAAAGGATCCCAAGTGGACAATGTTTCAAAATAAGGACCCAGCTCGCCGGCTGGCCAAATGTTCGCCAGCCAGCGACCGTGAGACATTTTCCGCCACCGAAATAGGGGCAATTTTGTCTTTTTCTTTCTTTTTCCGTTTTTCTTTTCTCTCTTCCTTTTTTCTTTCTTTTTCGGTGCCTGGGCTGGCGAGGATTTCAGCGAGGGCCGCCTTCGCCAGGGTCAGGCGATGGCCGCCCTCGCCGGCATCGGGCGAGGGTCGCCCTCGCATGGGCGGGCGAGACCCGTCCTCGCCCTCGCCAGATCCGGCCAAGGCAAGGGCAGCCCTCGCCGGATTTGGCGAGGGTGAGGGCGACCCTCGCTTGACGCCGGCGAGGCCGAGGGCCGCCCTCGCCGCAACCCTTGCCAACCCAGGTGAGGGCATCTCTCGCCCGCCCAGATCTGGCAAGGCCAAGGACGGCCCTCGCCAGATTTGGGCGAGTGAGAGCTGCCCTCGCCTGGGCTGGCAAGGGTTGCGACGAGAGCCGCCCTTGGCCTCGTCGGCGTTGGTCGCCTCGACTGACGCTGGGGAGGGCAACCCTCACTTGGGCTAGCGAGGCCAAGGGGGGCCCTCGCCAGATCTGGGCGGGTGAGAGACGCCCTCACTTGGGCTGGCGAGGGTTGCAGCGAGGGCTACCCTTGGCCTCGCCGGCGTCGGGCGAGGGTGGGTCTCACTTGCCCAGGTGAGGGGGACCCTCGTCCGACGCCGACGAGGGCGGCCGTCGCCCGACACCGGCGAAGGCGGTCCTTGCCTTAGGCCGGCGAGGTCGAGGGCGGCCCTCGCCACAATCCTCGCCAGCCCAGGCGCCGGAAAAGAAAAAAAAGACAAAAAAAAAGGAGGAGAGAAAAGAAAAAAGGAAAAAGAAAAAAAAGAAAGAAAAAGACAAAATTGCCCCTATTCCGGCGCCGGAAAATGTCTCACGGTCGCCGGCTGGCAAACATTTGGCCGGCCGGCGAGCGGGTCCTTATTTGAGACTAGTTTGGGCATTTTGGGTCCTTAATTGAAACATTGTCCACTTGAGGTCCTTTTTTGAAAAAAGAGACCCACTTTGGGTCCTTAATTGAAAATTTCCCCTTACTTTTTCATACTAATCACGTCTGTGAGTTGATTATGAGTGACAGGCTAAATGTTATTTTGTATGAAAATTACTAATCTAGACAACTAAATTACTAATAATTGATGCGTACATACCTTTCCTAAGGGTGAAATGCTTACTAACCATCACGAAAAGGACTAACAAAAATTGCCTGATATATTGCTTCTTACTTTTCTTTATACAAAAAGGTTCTCGAACACACCGAGGTGTTACTAAACACGAGTGAATGGGTTAGTAATTTTTCCATGGAGAAAAGTTTTTTTCACCTTTTTAATATATAGTCAATAACTTTTTATATGAAAGAGGTAATTAAGTGGAAAGAACTGGCGAAGTTTATTAGTTGAATGTTTACATCTTTTGCCTCGACTCACACCTACTTATAACGTTAGGAGCTCCGTGTCATCGTATTAATAGAAGGTGGCTTGGCCGGTTCCGTTCCTCATTATATAGAAAAAAACGAGCCAAGAGTTCAGGAAGCTAAGAAGAAATAGAAAATAAGAGGCTCATGTCCTCAATTCAACAATAAATGCGTGAAATTCCAACAGAAGCAAGGTGATAACAAATGACAGAAAGAATAGGTAGAATTACAAATCTTATCTAATCCACAAAATGTTTGTGACAAAGCACAAGCCGTCTAACGGAGAATCACACGCTCTTGCATCCTCATTTACATGTCAAGGACTGGACTGCCTTGGTTGATGTATCAATGGCCATGGTGCAATTCATTTGGGAGGTCTTCGTCTTCTTGAACATGAACATGACCGTCACCTTCCCTTTGAGCTCGCCTTGGCTGTTCAATGTTATGATTCCTGAACTCAACTCGTTCCCAAGATTCGATGTGCTTGGCAAATTCGCAGAGCTCAATGTCACACTCACATCAATCTTCTTGGTGGATTTGAAGTTGGCCTTGCTCTTTGGAATGATCGCTTGTCCCACTTGGACGCCTCCATAGGTGAAGCTAACAGTAGAAGCGTCATACTTGAAGGGACCCCAGTTGGTGTTCTTGACACGGATCGGGGCGACGAAGCTCATGTCAAATGAGGGCGAGGCCTGAGTCCCGACGTTCAAGGTTTGGACATCGAACTCGCCGACCCTGAACTTGGGGGACTTGAACTTCATAATAACCAGCACAAAGAAGAGAGCTTGGACTACCTGAAAGATAACAAAGGCGATGATGCCGATCGTCCACTTCATCCTCTTCTTGCGCTTGGCCTCCTCGTCCATTTGTTGCAGCGATTCGTGGTCGGTTTTTGTCATTGCTAGATGGAAGGAAAAAAAGGGGCTCTCTTCTATGGTTTTGTGCTGTCAATGAGGTTTGGTTGTCTGAATGACTTTGGAGATTGGAGAAGCTGTGAGGAACTGAAATGATAAGGTGGTGTTTATATAGGATTTGGTACCAAATGGGTGTGAGAATGATCAGGGAGGGCTCTTCCTAGGAAATGATGTTGTTCCCGTCGCCAAACGCGTCAGTTGAAAGTCAGTTCTAGACGAATGAGAATCTTTTTATATTATTAGCCAGAGACGAAGGCGAGTTTGGTAGTGGAACAGAGAGATTTCCGTAATACGCAACGATCTGTTTACAATAGAAGCTTCGATGATCGGATTGTGCGGTTTCAATCACGCGCTAACACACAAACGCACACCACGATCAGAGAAAAATTTACAGGCAAGTTCTGCGATCAATAATGCGGCCGACAGCTAATTACAAGGGTTTTAACCATTTACTTTCTTACTAATTATAGAACCGATGATTGACCAGGTTGTAGAAGTTACTTTTACGCCGACCGACGGTGTATTCTGTAGCCACTGTCTTATGTAATAATCCTGCCAGCTCGTGGTACAAACGGACAAAAAGCAAGAGAGGTGGAGTTCTTTGACTCATCACGAGCCGACGCATTTGCAGGTTCATTCTCTTTTCTGAACGGTAGGAGAGAAGCTCTGCCAATGTGATACACACGTGAGGTTTGACATCCTGACCATGTCCATGTCCGCATTGGCGGCACCATGTGGGTGGCTGCATGCTTGAGGAGTAGAGCCCAGAGGGCGACAAACAGCGGATGGGTTTTGTTTAGCCTCCTCAGATTTGTCAGATACCCTCCACCTAAAAACAACTAGTGGAATTGATGTATCTTCTTGAATTGCTCATATGTATGGAAAAGTCAAAGTCTGGTGGAGTGGAGGCAATCGATTCTGTCGAGATGGGTAACTCCAATTTGAGTTAAAATGAGTCAAACTGAACACGTTAATGGTTCAGATTTGGACTCGCTCTTGGTGATCTTATTAGGTGAAGGAATAAGGATTCTGTTGTACGCTACCAACATATTATACCGAAATATGCACACATCTAAAGTTATGTTCTACGTTATTGATAGTAGGTTCCTGGTTGCAACATTTGAAAGCATTGCAATATTGTCAATCAATCACAAACTATTAATGTATACGATTTGATTAAACTAGTTAGATAAATAATTTGATAGCAAATGGTTTGAATCGACACACTAGTAGTACTATCGATCGATGCATCAAGGCTTGTAATAGATGCCATAGTACCTTAATTTTTTTTTAAATATATCTCGAGCAACATCTATTCAACAAAGGAAACATACAAAATCAAGTATATTGTAAGAGCAAATTTACATACTATTTCTCATTTGAAAATTGGAAAAAACTTTCAACCTTGGTTGGCTTTACTCATCTGCCAGACACTGCATCCCTTTGCCATTCCTGGTCCCACACACTCTCAAACGAATAATGCCTATGACACAATTTTGACCCGAGAAACGTCAACAGAAAAAAGTACCACTAAAGTCCTAAATTTATTATATTTGTATTAATTTAGTCATAAATCTTTCAATTGAAATAATTTAGTCCTAAACTTATTCACATGGGTACCAATTCAGTCTATCCGGGCAATTTAGGCCAGAAATCGTTGACGTGAACGTCGAACATGGATATTTTTTAATAATATTTTATATTTTGCATTTTTTTCTTATTTATTTATTTTTTTCCCTTCATTTTGGTTAGGAAGGGCTGCCTTGCCTAGAGTCAGCGGGGTCCCAAAGGCCTTAGGTGAGGGCCTTTGCGGTCTCGCTTGCAGCCGTCGCAGCCGCGAAGGCCCTTACCCAAGGCCTAGGTGACCCCGCCGGCTCTGGGTGAGGCGGCCCTCGCCAGCGGCCGGTGAGGGCTTGGGCAAAATGAAGGAAAAAAATAAAGAAAATAAAAGAAAAAACAGCAAAAAATTATATAAAAAATAATTGAAAAATGTTTACGTCAGCGCCGATCATACCATGTAAGATGGCTGGCGTCCATATCAGCGATTCTGGCTTAAATTAGCTGAATGAATTGAATTGGTACTAATTTAAAAATGTTTATGACTAAATTGGTCCAATTTGAGGGTTTATTATTAAATTGGTATCGATACAATAGGTTTAAGATTTTTCTTGATACTATTCCTGGACATTAACTATGAGCATTGATGACTGATGAGTTGATCACAGCCAACCGCAATTAAGAATGAAGATAGTGAAAATCAATTTATAACGATCTCGACCGTCCAATTTTATTGAATGGAATGTCTATCATTGTCGAATTAGATAGGCTCCCAAAAACATGCGACTTTTTTCACTCTTTAATAAGTAAATTTTTGAGCTGGTTGATAATTTTTTTTTTGGGGTTCAAGAAAATACCAATGTTTAGTAAAAGTTTTTCTTGCTCCCAAGTTCCAATTGAGAAAAGAAACAGAATAATCAAAGGGTCATATCCTAGGATTCAATAATATGTGATAACAAATTACAATCGAAAAAAGCTAAGATGTAGTACAAAATCTTATCTAATTCGCCAAAAAAAGCCAGCAAGCAGTCTAATGGAGGATTGCACTCGCTAATCCTCATTTGCACGACAAGGATTGGACCACCTTTGTCGCTACATTGATTCCCATGGTGCAATTCATCTGGGAGGTCTTCGTCTTCTTGAACATGAACATGATCGTTACCTTCCCTTTGAGCGCACCTTGACTGTTCAACGTTATAATCCCCGAACTCAACTCGCTCCCAAGATTCGATGTCGTGGGCAAATTAGCAGAGCTCAAAGCCACATTCACGTCGATCTTCTTGGTGGACTTGAAGTTGGCCTTGCTTTTTGGAATGATCCCTTGTCCCACCTGGACACCTCCATAGGTGAAGTCAACGGTGGAGGCGTCGTACTTGAAGGGACCCCAGTTGGTGTTCTTAACTCGGATCGGAGCAACGAAGCTCATGTCGAACGAAGGCGAGGCCTGAGTCCCGACGTTCAGAGTCGGGACGGTAAAGTCGCCGACCCTGAACTTGGGGGACTTGAACTTCATGATAACCAGGACGAAGAAGAGAGCTTGGACTACTTGAAAGATAACAAAAGCGATGATGCCGATCGTCCACTTCATCCTCTTCTTGCGCTTTGCCTCCTCGTCCATGTATCCCATCGGCATTGCTGATTCTTCTTTCTTTGGAATAGATGGAAGAATAGAAAGGCTCTCTCTCTCTCTGTTTTGCTTTCTGTGATTTCGACTCGGTTTTGTTGAAGACTTTGGAGATTGGAGAAGCTGTGAAGATTGAAATGAGGCATTGGTAGGGTATATATAGGATTTGATTTCCATATTGCCATGATCAAATGGAGGCAGGCTCTTTCCTAGAAAAAGTTAGATTGATTCAGGGTCGCCAAACGCGTCCTTGGAATATTCAATCCTAGAGGAAACCCGGAGCAGGAATTTGTCAGCAACGAGCGGGGGTTGTTAACACGAAACATCGACCCATCGAAACTTCGAATGAAGGAATAGTCTCCGGGATCTTTACCGTACGGTCTCTACAAACGTTTTCAAGTTAGAAAAACTGACAAAGCAGATAATGCCAGAACTGCGCAAGCGTGTGGGGCCCTATGTAGCCCCAGACAATGAAAAGAACGAAAGAGAGAGCAATACTAAGTTTATGGAGATTGATATTTAAACTTCGGTTTATTAGATTGAATATTAATATAAGTGGATCATATTCAACACCCATCAATAATACCGATCAAGTGGGGAAAATTATCTAAAAAGTCATAAATCTATTGTATTTTTACCAATTCAATCCTAAACATTTTCACTTCTTGCCAATTGAGTCAATCCGGCCAATTTTGGCCGACCGGCGCTGACGTGGTCGCCGGCCTGCGCCGGCCGTCCGGCGTTGACATGACCGTCTACCGTTTGGCCAACGCTGATGTGGCAATTTTTTAATATATTTTTTTTAAATTTTTAATCTTTTTTTTTTTACTTCTTCCCTCTGGCCGGTCCGGTAACTGGCGACCGACCAGAGGTGAGGGCCTGCGAGGTCGACCTTGCCGGCCTCTAGTGAAGCTAGCCCCTGCTGGCCACCGGCGAGGGTGAGCCTCGCCGGCCCTCGCCTCTGGTCGGTAGCCGGACCGGCTAGATGGAAGAAGTCAGAAAGAAAAAAAAGATTAAATTTTTTTAAAAAATATATTTAAAAATTGTCACGTCAGCGTTTGCTGGACAGCCAACAGCTACGTCAGTGCCGACCGGTCAAAATTGGCTGGATGGATTTAATTGACAAAAAGTGAAAAGATTTAAAACTGAATTAGCAAACTTAAAAGATTTATGACTGAATTGGCAAAAGTGCAATAAGTTTAGGACTTTTTGGACAATTTTTCCCAATCAAGTGATTCATCGAGTGGTCTGAAACTCGATTAGCAAGCCGAAGGCCACGGCTTCGGTTCCCTACCCCATCCTCGATCTAAGGTTATCTTGGTTAGTCTGCAAAAAAAATGACCTAAGTTTAGGTGTCTGGCTAGTTTTGGGCTTTCACACCCGCGCTTGGTGTGGCTGCAAAAAACAATTAATAAGAAATTCTATCGGTAGTTTTTTCGTTAGCCATAAATTTGGTTTTTTTGTCGCCGATTAAATCTATAATAAGATTCTTTGATGGAAATGATGGTTTTGTGACGTGGACGCTCATCTAGAAGGTTGAGAAAATTATCTTATGATATATATATTTTATTATGATCTTGGCAAGAGAATTGATGTTGACTTAAGGTGATGAGTTTGACCAAAAGCTTACCTAAAAGTTGTATTGCCGGAGAATTAAGACGAGCGGCGTCGTGACTCTTTCGCCTGCCTTGGCTGACTTTTTGAGAAGGCTTTGCTTTCAATGAACTTCTTAATACGTCAGAATAAAGAAAAGTTGTTAAATCATAATTTAATCTAATGATTCGCCATTTTAAGTGTAGTCTTTAATCTAATTAACTTATATGTTAGAAATTATTATGAGGTCTACTCTTTCAAGAATTTATGGCTCACAACATGCTATTACTCTTAAAATAACCGAAAGACTGTTATGTTAGCAAAATCCATAATTAAATGGGTGGATGGGTGATACGATGCTTCCAAAACAATATGTAAGTTTCCTGATCTTGATGTTGAAACCATGGTGATGTTTCGATGACAACCCTATTGAAGTCGGTATCTCATTCTATTTTCAATTTTAGAATACGATGGAGTGCAATAGTCACTCGATGTGGCTATATATAGGTTTGTAATCGACCCTCGCTCAATGGACACGGTGATTGCAGTGACAACGCTCTTGCCCCCATTCGAATTTGAGCAAGGGCAAGTTGGCCATCCTGGACTGCCCTTTTCCGCTCCTCTCGCTACCATGAAATCCTAGCCTAGGAACGCAACTCCTAACCACTCTATTTCCAGCTTAGCGAGATAGTGCCATCCCAAGTCAAGTGCTAGAAGAAAGGAAATGAGAGAATCGTCAGCATTTCGCATTGACAACGTTAATAGAATCAGAGAAGAGGAGCTCGATGCAGCTCGACCCTCGGGCTTGGGAAGTACGGTCAGATTCATAGGACCAAGACTATCTCAGCTTCGAGGGCCGATTGCTCTTGCTCGAGACTTTAGCAATGGTTTTCACTTGGAGTTTTCCTTTTATTTTGCTAATGTGGTTCAACATGTCGACAGTTGTGGGCCCCACTCATTTGATGTGGCGACCATAATAGCGAGTTAACAGCCACGACAACTGTGGACGATCATATCGGCAATTTCCGATAGCAAAATCAACAGGATGCCTAAATTCTGCTATTACGAAGAAATACAATTAGGACTAAATCGAATAAAAATTTCTGGGATTAAATTGAATAATTTACCCAAAAGTTGGGATTGTCCCTCGAAACGGACAAATTACAGATGTATAATGCCGGCGATAATGGCGCACTAGATGACTAAGTCCCGACAAGGCTATAAGTCAAAGTACGAAATGTAAAAATCTAGGCATCAATGTGCTGTGAATTGGTCGTGTGAACTATGTTTGTCTTATTTCTCTTTTAGTCCTCCAGAAAATGCAGTGCGGGTAAAACAACATTCACTACAACCCCCAACCCCCCCCCAGATGAACGGAGGACACAAGTGCAAGAAATGCAGATTACTAAGTAATCAGATCAATGCTACACCAAACTACATAACTTATTCCGTCTGTATGCGATCTTTGACAGATCGGTATGCCTTCTTCGTACATGCATGTGAAGCGAACCGACACAAGAATGACGATCGATATGATAAACAGTAGTAGTTTTTTTGTTTAGGGGAGAAACATAATTAAGAACACCAAGCTAAAGCTTCGATCCGAGTGCAGTACACATGTGAGGTGTACAAAAAAGTAGGGCAAATTTAACAAGATAGAATACTTAGTTTGATTTTGATCCACGGAAAATGTATTGAAAACAAATAAAACCGAGAATACAAAGCCATAATATGATGCCGAACCACCTTTCCCAGGCATGCTCATTTGCATGACAAGGACTGTACCATCTTTGTTGAGGTACTGATTGCCATGGTGCAATTCATCATCGAGGTCTTCTTCTTCTTGAACATGAACATGACCGTTACCTTCCCTCTAAGCTCGCCTTGACTGTTCAATTTTATGATCTCAGAGCTCAAATCGCTCCCGAGGTTCGAATTGCTAGGCAAATTAGCAGAGTTCAGAGTCACGTTCACATTAATCTTCTTGGTGGACTTGAAGTTGGCCTTGCTCTTGGGAATGATCGCTTGTCCCACTCGGAAGCCTCCGTAGGTGAAATCAACGGTAGAAGCATCATACTTGAAGGGACCCCAGTTGGTGTTCTTGACACGGATCGGAGCCATGAAGCTCATGTTGAATGAGGGCGACGATTGATCAGAGTCCAAAGTCGAGACATTGAAGTCGCTGATCCTGAACTTGGGGGACTTGAACTTCATAATGACCAGCACAAAGAAGAGACCCTGCACTACCTGAAAGATGACGAAGGCGATGATGCCAATCGTCCACTTCATCCTCTTCTTGCGCTTCGCCTCCTCCATCATTAGCAACGCCTCTTCATCCATCCTGCCATTGTGGTTGGATTCCGCCATCGACGACGACTTGGAAAACTCAGTAGCTGATTCGAGGTTCTCGTTAAAATTTTCTCTAGATAGGATAGGAATGATTGTTGGGTTGAGTATCAGTGAGAAGTGTCTGGGAGGATTTGAAGAAGCGGGGGTCAGTATGAGGTTTTTTATATGTAAAGTCTCTCGGAGATCGGACAAGAGTGTGTCGAACCAGGAAGAGCAGAAATGAGACCACCTTCGTGGAAAATGGTATTGGGACTACTAGGTTAAACGCGTCTGTCAGACGTTGGAAATTTCACTTCTAGATGGACGCGAGTTTACGGAGAAAAAGAACCAGCAACAAGAGAGATGTTTTGTTTCATAATGTGAAATTCATATTCGGCTGATAGGATTTTCTTTTGTTCCTTTCTTTGGCCTGTTTATGGTCAAATAGAAGTTTCGATTACGTGAGTCGGCTCCAAAGTCATCACCGTACAATTTCAGCCACGTCGCCACTGGAGGACGACCAATTGGACGAAGCAGATCAAAAACTTCTTGAAGGTTTTGAACTTTCAAAGTATGTGTCTCGTGTCCGATGTTTACGGTTTAGCTTGACCCTGTATAAAGATTGGATTTTTATTTTCTCACAACGGAAAATGACAAAAATGGTATCTGAACATTTATTTATTATGAAATGTTGTCCTTGAACTTTTAACTTATTCAATAGGATTCCTGAATTCTTTATTGACACCTTTTTTTTTTAATTGTCCAATTAAATTGCACAAAATTTGGGAGTTGATTTTCTTCAATTCCTAAACCCACAAAAAAAATACTTTTATTCAATTGCATTGCATGTAGACATTAGATAAATTAGTATTAATTGCACTAATTAACTTTTTTTATTAATTAAAAGAAAAGAAGAAAAATTGCAAAAAAATTGGGATTGGGCTAGGTTGGGGCCAGGTCGACCAGGCCCTCTCTTTCCTTTCCCCCGGGCCCGGGCCCGGGCCCCCTCTCTTTTCTTTTCCTTTTTTCCCCTTCCTCGCGAACTGGGCCCAGCCCACTCACCCGCGTGAGCCAAGCCCGGCCCGATCTCTTTCTTTCCCCCGTTCGAGTCAACTCTCCTTCCTCTCTCCTTCCCCTACGTTGCCGTTGACCGAACAAACAGTGGAACGTCCTCGCCGTTCCGCCCAAGCAAGAGCAAACAGAGGGGGAGCACCCAGTACAGGGCATTGAATGCCTTCCTATCCCTGAGCTCCCTCTCTCCTTCCCTTGGTGAACGTTGTGGCAGCCAAAGGCCGATGGTGTGGTAGAGCACTACTCCACCAAGTAAAAAACAAGCGAAGGAGGAAGCATAGTAGAGAGAGTAGAGCGGTGTGCGGTTAGGAAGTGGCCGACGGCCGCTATATAAGCCAGCAAAGAAAAGAGAGAAATGGTCGGCCAAAACAGAGCAAAAGAGAGATCGAGAGATTTTAAGAGAGTTTGAGAGTAATAAAGAGTAAAAGAACGAGCTTTGAGTGTTTGCAGGTTGCAAAGGGAAGCCAGTCAACCTCGCTGTCATCAGCAAGCCGGCCGAAGGTTCCCCAGAAGCAACTTGACTGGTAAGCTTTCTCCGGCCTCTAATATCCCTTGTTTTGCTTCACAGGTTGGGCGGGACTTGCACCGACCATTTCGCGTGAATCCCGGCCCATACCAATCTTTCCCATAGTCTACACGTCACTGTTGAAGGTGAGTATAGGTCATTGAAGGAGGTTGGGCCTTGAAATAGGTTGGAGTTCCCCCGTTTTGGCCATGAATGGCAACTGTTCGATAAAATGACCAAAAGAAGCTTGTTTTATTTGATCTTCGGTCGGCGATGTCGAGACTAGCTGAAGAGTTGGGTAGTTTAGGGAAGTTTAGTAGTGGCCATCGAAAGCCTGAGGAGGTCAAAGACTGGCCTGGGTCGTCCGGCCAAACTCCGACCGACTTTTGCGCTTGAAGAGCCCCGGCCAGAGCTCGACCGACCACCATCCTGGGCAGTCATCCAGTGGCCAGCCAGGCTGCAACTTCCTCGACTTGAAGTGCCGAGGAGGCTGGTGCCTAAAGCCGAGTAAAATAGCCAGCAAATCGTCGAAATTTTGCTCGGCTAGTCATGCCCCGTGCTTGAGGAGCACAAGATGCCCGGTCAAATCGGGTCCGCAGTCCCGGTTGAACTAATCTGCAAACCCTATTCGACCGATTCGACTCCTTTGGGCCAGCCTTTTTTTGTCCTTTTCCATCAGACTGGACCCTAACCGGGTTTGGCCCAATGGGGAAGCCGGGTCGACAACCTGGGTCAGCCAATTCTGGTCGATTTTATGGGCCCGGGTCAATTTTGACTTGACCAGGATCTGACAACCCGACCCAAATATGATTATTTTAATATTTTAATATTATTTTTTAAAAAATAGGAAATAGTTTAAATAGCTAGATTTTGAGTAATTTTCTTTAAAAATATGTGAAAATATTTCGAAAAAATTTGTGCTTAAATTGAACAAGCCTTTAGGGCTATACCATAGGATTTTGAATGTCCTAAAAATGAATGTCATGTCATTATTTGTGCAATTCATTTTGATCATTATCTATGTTGCGACCCTTCCGGAGGTAAACCACAAGGGGATGGCTAACTGATTTACTAACGGTAACGAAAGTTCCTTTCATGAGGCTATCACTCGCGTTTAGTGCGGACTCTCCCAAGCCCATCTGACCGCAAATTGGTACTCAATTCAATCATGATTAAACTTACTTTTTTTTAGCCGCCACTAACCGATTTTGGATCGATTAGACACCCAAGTAAAATGTGGGAATACAGTTTACTTATGCAAACCAGAAACTCATGAATTCGGGGACTATGTTACGCTAGATTAATCTAACGCCATTTCGGTAACTTTTCTCTTTATTTCGAAAATATTTTGCATGCAGTCTTTATCCATTTTTAACCTATGCCACTAACATATAAGGAGTGATCTTGCACGTGCGCACTCAAGAAAGTAAAACCCAATGATCAAAACATTTAAAAGATTGCATACGATTTTAAAAACCTAGACGCACTAAGCAAGCAAAGCGTATCACTACCCATCACCACGAGATTTCTGCAAACTTTTACTTTAGAAAAATATGCAAACAGAATGCATGAATATTATGCATGATCGTGCACGGGATAATGACTAACTAATATGCAATCTACATGCGACTCTCTAATTTTAATTTTTGATATTATTCATCATTAAAGACAAATTATCCTAAAAGTCTACAACTTAAATGATTCCTAACCCTGCATCTATATGATTAATGAAAATGCAATCTAAATCCTACGTGTGAGATGACATAGTTTTATTTATAAGATAATACATGCATGTAATTCTAAGTTAGTTAATATGTATGAATGACCTAAAAGAAACCATGTTTTTATTCTATAATGCAAGCTATATATTTTTATATATATTTTTTATTTTATGAAAATAGCAAGTTTAAAACCTAAGACTCTAATGTGACCTAGTGACCTATCCACTATTATTGAATTATACAATCGATGCAAGTAACGTAATAATTAAAACTATCTACATAATACTATTATTAAAACTTAGTTCTAAATTACATGCATTTTATGATGTGAGCCTAATTAACCTTAGAGGTCTACTTGCGATCTAAATGATTCTAAGGACATTTTTTTTTTCAAAATATTTGTGCATTTTAAGACTAATTATGCATGCCCTAAATATGAAAATCCCAAAATGCAAACGACTTGCAATGACGATTGATAATATTGTGGTGTAATGAAACACACATCATATCAAGATCAATCATAACAAGTCATGCGAGACAATATTAGGATCCGACCTAAGTGTCTAAAGGTTTGGAGGCGTAATATGCCTTACATAACACGGGAAAATAACCAAATCATGATAACCTAACCAAATCATGATAACCTAAGGCTCTGTCAACTAATAACATGCAATTAAGAATTATCATAGAAAGTTGAACACAACTCCACTTACCTGCACAAAACCAAACGAGACCGATGAAGAGGAATCCCAAGCAACGTGAGGAACACTATAACGGCGGTTCAATGCTGGCCAATGGCGAAGCTTCCCTGAGGATTACTGGAACTAGCGAAACTGGAAGAACACTAGGCGATGATTGAAGAGCAATTGGACTGAGACCACGACAGATTGGTGGGCTCGATGGCCTACTAACGTGATGAAGGTTTCGTCCAAGAGACCTGCAACAAAACGAGAAGGTTGGACTTTCTTGGCGAACGCGGAACACGGCAGCGGGGCTTGCTACCGAGGCACGGAAGGACTATTGGGTGCTTGTCAGGTACGACGTCAGGGCCGGTGATAATCAAGCTGGATTGTGATAGGGACCGCGGATGAGCAGGGGCTGAGAGTTCAGCGTCGCTGGGAAAAAAATGCTAGAACGGCGGAGTTTGGTGAGTGCTATGGATGGTGATGACTTGCGGCAAGACAATATGGACGTCAAGGCTCCTTCACGATCGCAACATCGTCACTGAAAAAGAGTCACCGACGGCCAAAGTGACTGGAACTTTGTTTCGCCAATTTCCACTTCGGGAGCGTGTGGAAGGTCAGAGCAAGTGTGGTTTGGAGTTAACGTCTCGCGTGCTCCACATTGAGCTCTGTAGGAGACGGTGAAAAACGGAAATGGGGTTGATGGGCTTCTCTAGTGGTGGAGGTGACCTTCAGCAAGAAGGAATTTTTGGCCTCTCTCCAATTTTCTGTCTTCACGATTGTCTCCTCACTTGTTTAACGATCGCTTCTCTCCCACAATCTGGACTCCTAGAGGAAAGCTGATGACCATGATAAAGACCTCACCGTTCTTTTTTTTGGTTCTTGAGAGAAGTACCCTTTTATAGTGGCTCTAGACACCTCCCTTTCTTTGCAAATCTTTTAAGTTTCCTTTTCTCTTCCCTTGATTCACGACATTCCACGATTTTGGCCAGCCCATTTGCACATTCCAATCAGCTCCTTACTTTGATTTCATCCTTTTATTGATGTCCGTTTCACCGATTTTGCCTCTCAATTGCCGCACTTTCCTTTGTCTTCAGCCGTGAACTTAACATTCATGGAAAAATATCCCAAGAATTCTTCCGTTTAGCTGGCCAGAGAGAAGATCTCTCCGATTGATTTGTAGCAAGAAAATCCCCTTCCCAAAATGGCGTGAGGCTACTGCCTTCATGATGGTCTTTTTTCATTGCTAGAATAAGAGCATCCAAGGATATACACTCTCTTTCTCCAATCACGCTTTGCAAGATCCCTCGGCCAATCTCTATCCTCATTTCCAAATTCTTTTTCCTTGAAAGCTTCACT